ACTTTTCATAATCTTGTAAATTATTTTATTACTTGAATTTTTTTTTTTTTATTAAACTATATTTTTCTTAAATTAGTTTTTTTCTCTTGATTTGTGTTTGCTACACTAAAATCATACATGCCGGCCCGTAGGGATTATATTCCTAAAACAAATAAAAAAATGGAAAGCCCAATAACAAAGAGCTTTAGAAACAAAAAAAAAAAAGTGCTCCAAAACAACATATATGCTCCTCGTAAACATTTTATCAACCTTAATCCACTATGCCACAATATAAAAGAAGAGTTGGATTAAGCTAAGAATTGAGAAGCAACTGCAATTTCTTAAGTTTTATGATTGTTGGATTTATCAATAGCTTTTGATCACTAGTATCTTATCTTCTTCTAGATGTGCTAGAGATGAAAGAGGGAAAGCTACGATGATTGGGGTAAGACAGTTTTTGAGGATAGTCGAAGCTCTACAAATGGACAGTAGTATGTATATGTATAGATGGTTGAATGCAAAAATATAGATGGTCATGTGTAGATGGTCACGTATAGATGGTCATGTATCGATGGTAGTATATTGAGTTTGGTTTTTGTTTCAAGACTTAGTCTTCCCCTCAATGATCCATGAGCTAATAACAAAATCAAGCCTGAACCAAAACCAAGAAAGAACATGGAAAACCGTTTGAAGACATCCATTTGAGATCCAGGTCTTGTTGTGTTGAGGCGAGAATTGTTGGAAGAAACAAGACAATTGAAGTGAAACATACTTTTAGAAATTAATTGAAAATTAATGCATTTGTGTAAATTACTCTCTCGTGAAGAACATGGTCCAAGTGTGATTCTTTGTTTGAGATTTTAGAAAATTAGAGCTTCTTTGGAGAATTGTCTTGACATTGTTTATTACCAAACAAGTGTTGTTTTGATGTAGCAATCTTGTTATGTTTCGCAATGGAGTTGATAAAGAAGCGCCACATACGAAAGGACGGCTTGATGTCCAGTCTTTTACCATATCGGAAGAAACATCACAGAATTTATGAAATTAATACTACTAAGTATTCAACATTCCATGTTCATAAGAAGATATAAAAGCATATTGTGTAATGGTTGTACAAACATATTTGAAAGTCTATTAGCTGTATTTGAAAGAGAAACAAATTCATCACATTTGATCAAAGTCTAGAAACCATAAGGACAAAGAAAGCCAATACATTATCATGATTAAAGTATTCATAAACCAAAAAATGATTTCAAACTTCTTGTTTTAATGTTAAATCTGCCCCCATGGTTATTGATCTATGCTCATCTATCCACATTAGCTTGTCCACGCGAAACACTTTATGGTGATTGTGGCTCGTTGAATGTTCACTTCCAACTTGATCATTTTTTCAGAGCAAAAGAAGCATTGTTAAGTCCTGTAAGAAGAAACAAAACAAAACAAAAAGATTAATATTTTGAATTTGGTAACATACAAAAAAAGAACTTAAAACAAAACTTGTAAGTTTTCCTTTTAAAATTTGAACATGCATTTTTTTTGCCCACGTACATGTTCGATGTTAAGTGGACACAAAAGAGTACGTCCACACATCACCATCCATTCGATTTACCATCCATACCAATGCATCCATAAATCACTCCCAGAACACAAAGGGGTGGATTCAGTCACATGAACACAATGGCTTAAACGATTGTGAGTTGCCCTCTCCC